ACAACAAAAAGACAAATAACCCAATTAAAAAATGGGCAAAGGATATGAACAGGCACTTTGCCAAAGAAGATACTTAGGTGGCTAACAGACACATGAAGAAATGCCCACGATCATTAGCCATTAGAATAATGCCAATCAAAACTACAGTGAGATACCTTCTTACCCCAACAAGTCTAGCATTAATCTAAAAAAGACAAAATAATAAATGCTGGAGAGGTTGTGGAGAGACTGGAACATTTATACACTGTTGTTGAGAATGTAAAATGGTACAGCCACTTTGGAAGTCGATTTGGCGCTTTCTTAAAAAGCTAGAAATAGAAGTACCATAGGATCCAGCTATCCTGTTCCTTGGAATATATCCTAGAGAAATAAGAGCCATCACACAAATAGATATATGCACACCCATATTCATTGCAGCACTGTTCACAATAGCAAAGAGATGGAAACAACCTAGGTGCCCATCAACAGATGAATGGATAAACAAATTATGGTATATCTACACAATGGAATACTACACAACAATAAAGAACAACGATGAAGCCGTGAAACATCTGATAACACGGAGGAATCTGGAGGGCATTATGCTGAGTGAATTTAGTCAGTCACAGAAGGACAAATATTGTATAAGACCACTATTATTAAGAACTCAAGAAAAGGTTTAAACACAGAAGAAAACATTCTTTGATGGTTACGAGGGTGGGGAGGGAGAGTGAGGGTTATTTACTAACTAGCAAGTAGATAAGAATTATCTTAGGTGAAGGGAAGGACAGCACACACTACAAGGGAAGTCAGCACAACTGGACTAAACCAAAGCTAAGAAATTTCCTGAATTCAGTCAAACACTTTGAGGGACAGAGTCGCAGGGGTAGGGATCTGGGGACCATGCTTTCAGGGGACATCTAGGTCAATTGGCATAACAAAGCTTGTTAAGAAAATGTTCAGCATCCTAATTTGGTGAGTGGCATTTGGGGTCTTAAAAGCTTGCAAGCGGCCTTCTAAGATGCATCAATTGGTCCCAACCACCCGGAGTAAAGGAGAATGAAGAACACAAAGACACAAGGAAAGTATTAGCCCAAGAGACAGAAAGGGCCACATTAACCAGAGACTTCATCAGCCTGAGACCAGAAGAACTAGATAGTGCCCGGCTACCCAATGACCGCCCTGACATGGAACACAACAGAGAGTCTAGATGGAGCAGGAGAAAGGTGGGGTGCAGAACTCAAATTCTAGTAAGAAGACCAGACTTAATGGTCTAAGACTGGAAGAACCCCAGAAAGCATGGCCCCTGTATTCTCTATCTGCCCAGAACTAAAACAATTTCTGAGGCCAACTCTTCAGACAGGGATTGCACTGGACTTTGGGACATAAAGTGATACTCGTGGGGAGTGTGTCTCTTAGCTCAAGTAGATATAAGAGACTAAATGGGCAGCTTCTGTCCGGAGGTGAAATGGGAAGGCAGAGAGGGTTAGGAGCTGGCTGAATGGACATGGGGAATCGGGTGAAAAGGAGGAGTGTGCTGTCACAGTATGACGAGAGCAATTAGGGTCACATAACATTGTATGTGTAAATTTTTGTATGGGAAAAAATTTTAAAAGAAGATTTCCATGGTTTAAATGAAGTGATACACTTTTGTACTTTTAATTAAAGCACTGTTGCTGTTATTCTTATAAAGACATATGTCATTCTGTCTTGTGTCCCAGTTGTTAACACATCTGGCTCCCCAGCTTGTGGACAGACCTTGTCTTATTGATGTCTGTTTCTTCCCCTCAGCAACAAGCACAGCACAAAGCTCCCCAAGTGTACTGTGTGGAATTGTGTGTTGGTTTCTAATTGTTTCATATTCATAAATCTTATCTCTAAGTAAAATCTAAGTACTTTAAGGGTAGGGACCCTCTCATACGATTCCTGTCACAAAACTGGGCACAGACCTGCTACAGCTTTGGGAGAATTTTTCACCTGATTACAAAAGGTATTCAAGTTGTGCTTCTCCTTCCAGGGCTTTCCCAGATGACCCAGGTGTGCAGTGGGACACAGAGCATGTGGCCAGCGACCTCCTCCAGCACATAGAAGCTAATGGCATCAACCTGGTAGGGGAACACCCTCCCTGAAAGGAAAGTCTGGGTCCCAGTCCAACAGTTAGTTTCTGCAACCTTTGCTGTGGCTGTCCTCCCACCCCTGTGTCCTCCAGGCCCACTTGATAGAGTGACCAAAACTTCCCAATGATCTCTCTTAACCCTACAGAGGAACAAACACATCTTTTAGTTATCTGTTAGATCTTTTTTGAGATGAAGTTGCTCAGGTACAGGGAGAGGATTTTTCTAAACTACGCCTTCTTTAATTCATGCCATATCAGCAGACGAAGGTCCTGAAAGCTTTACTCCATCCACGTCATTAAGGCTGATTCTACTTTGAGGAGGCAGCTCTTCCCCAGTCATATTCCGAGTGCCTTCCAACCTGAGGGTCTCATCTTCTGGCACTATAGCAGACACTGTTCTGCTGCTATCCATAAGGTTTTCACTGGCCAGTTTTTTTTAGAAGTAGATCACCAGGTCCTTCTTCCTAGTCTGTCTTAGTCTGGAAGATCCACTGAAACCTGTCCCAACATGGGTGACCTGCTGGTATTTGAAATACTGGTGGCATAGCTTCCAGCATCACAGGAGCATACATCAGGGTTGTATCCTTTCACCATACTTATTCAGTCTGTATGCTGAGCAAATAACTTAAGAAGCTGGACTCTATGAAGAAGAACATGGCATCCGGATTAGAGGAAGACTCATTAACAACCTGTGATATGCAGATAACACAACCTTGCCTGCTGAAAGTGAAGAGGACTTGAAGCACTTACTGATGAAGATCAAAGACCACAGGCTTCAGTACAGATTACACCTCAGCATGAAGAAAACAAAAATCCTCACAAATGGACCAATAAGCAACATCATGATAAACGGAAAAAAAGATTGAAGTTGTCAAGGATTTCATTTTACTTGGATCCACAATCAACACCCATAGAAGCAGCACTCAAGAAATCAAACGATGCATTGCATTGAGCAAATCTGCTGCAAAAGACCTCTTTAAAGCGTTAAAGCAAAGATGTAACTTTGAGGACAAAGGTGTGCCTGACCCAAGCCATGGTATTTTCAGTCACCTCATATGCATGTGAAAGCTGGACAATGAATAAGGAAGACCAAAGAAGAATTGATGCCTTTAAATTAAGGTGTTTGTGAACAAAATTGAATATACCGTGAACTGCCAGAAGAACAAACAAATCTGTCTTGGAAGAAATACAGCCAGGATGCTCCTTAGAAGCGAGGATGCGACTTCATCTCACCTACTTTGGACATGTTATCAGGAGAGTCCAGTCCCTGAAGAAGGCATCCTGCCTGGTAGAGTAGAGGGTCAGCGAAAAAGAGGAAGACGCTGACTGAGATAGATTGACAGACACGGTGACTGCAACAATGGGCTCAAACATAGCAACAATTGTGAGGATGGCACAGGACCATGCAGTGTTTCATTCTGTTATACATAGGGTCGCTATGAGTTGGAACCAACAAGGGTGCTCATTGCTATTAGATTGGTCATCCTTTCTAGGCCTTTTCAGTGAACAGAGCTAGGAAATTTTTTTCAATGGTTAACTTCTAAGAAGAAATGTTTTTATTTCATCCTGTATTGAAATTGACCTTCTATAACATTTTATTCCTTTTATCAGGAAGTTTCAGTATAGTCATTATGGGCTTGCTGACTCTTGGGGTTAGCATTCTGAATGTGAATCCCTAAACACAGTTTATATACGTGGCACCACAGAAGAAAGGCCTGTCAATTTGCTTCTGTAAAAGTTACAGCCAAGAAAACCCTACAGAGCAATTCTACTTTGTAACACATGAGGTCACCATGAGTTGGAATCAACTCGACAGCAACAGGTATAGAAAAAAGTGGGAAATCTCAGCTGGCTTTTGGGTAGAACTTGGAAGTTGCTTTTATAAATAATCTTCACATAGTCTCTAGTTAGGAGTTTGATTTGTTTTTGTCATTTCTGTTTCTCTTTGAGTAGAGAATGAGTAGGGAAAAAAACCCTTTCTGTTTAACTGGTTGCATTTTGGTTCAGTAAGATTTGTGACATTGTGCTGGGAATCCTGAGAGCCTAGAGGCACTGAAAGTAGGAGCCTTTGTTGTGTGGATTGGACCTATTAGGTGTCTGGCTAACTAGAGGAATGGAGAATGGACTGAAATGGGTGTTCTCCTTCTCACTGAAAAACTCTAATGGACACAGGAGAACAGCAAAAACATTCTTCAGGTCTTCTGAGTGGTATTCAGGGGCTTCTGCCTGCAGCCTAGCACAGCTTCTCATATATGGGACGCTGGTAAAGAGCATGGACTCTAGAGTCAGACAGAGCCAAGTTCTAAGGTCAGCTTCACGGTCACTAGCTGGGTCACCTCAGCTTCTGCTTCCTCAAGTGCAACATAGGGTTAATAATAGTGTCTGTGAGCAATAAATGTTAGCTGCTGTTATTATAACAGTTTTCTGTACATGAAGTCAATGTGTTTTATGGTTTAAAACAGAAAGACCAATAGTGAATCTCTTCCCAGCCTATTCCAATTCATTTCCAGTTCCTTTCATCCATGCTGCCTGGTCACCTTCTTTCCTTGGGGACAGCTTGCCACTTTCCATCACCCCAAACCAACCGTTACTGTTCCTTTTCTTGAGTCCTTGGTTTTTCTTATATTTTTATTATTTGAGCTATCCTTTTATTATTACTATCATTATTAATACTATTCAAAATGTCCTCTGATTTTTTTAACCCATCTGTATAGAAATGAAATGTTGGAACCTAGACTGAGTTTGTACTTAATAAACAGATACTGATAAGTCTGTGAAAATGGAAACAGAGGCAATCTGTGAATTCACTTTTTCCGTGAACTCAACTCCAGGGCCATGGGAACATTGTGTCTCAAAACTTTTATACCCTCGGTATGGCATGAGGAAGAGACCAAATAAATCAGGCACATCTACATGAACAAAGTTCACATAGCAGCCATCCAGGAAACCTAAGCAGATAAGCAACAAAGATATTCTGAGCCCAAGTTTCTATCATAGCTGAATTTTACTCTGTTCCCCTAGCCGGGATCAAGGGTAAACCAAAAAAACTATGGAAATAGTCTCTGTACAAATAGCCAAACCAACAGTTACTCACCAGTGAATGGTTCAGAAATCAGTCCAGAGATACTCAGAATTTGAAAAGTTCCGGGTCCTGCTTTCTCCCTTCCTTCCAAAGGGAATGAAGACAGTCACTTTGAAATTGAGATTTTTCTTCCCCCTTTTTAACACCAGGTCATTTTTTATTTTCAGCAGAAGCAGAGAAAGCATTCAGACAGGCATGAGTAAAACCCTGTATTTCTCTATAGGTGGTGACTTTTGATGCCAGAGGAGTAAGTGGTCACATCAATCACATTACTCTTCATGCGGCCGTGAGGTATGATTCTCTGGGTAACAAGACATGGGAGGGGTTTGTCCATTTCCTTAGTGTGTAAGGTTTCTAAAGCACTTTCCCACTCATTATCTGATCCCCGTGAAATGTACTATTGAGCTGTTAGAGCTATTGTTGGCCATGTGTCCTCTCTGGGAGAACTTAATTTCAAGTCTTATTAGTAGGAATGCTTATCTTCTGAACAGCCGAACTTTTCTACTCCATGGTTACTGCAAATGAGGTAACTGATTTTATTTCCCTCTTTGTTTTGGTCACCGAAAACTTTTAGTGCCAAATTTTCAGCCCCTTGTAACACATGTACAAGACTTTAAGGACATGTACAAGACTCTGCAAGAAGCCCTTGTGGCGCAACAGTTAAGCACTCAGCTGCTAACTGCGAGATTGGCAGTTTGATCCCACCCAGTGGCTCTGTGGAAGAAAGACCTGGCGATCTACTTCTGTGAAGATTACAGCCAAGAAAACCCTATGGGACAGTTACTGTGTCACATGGGGTTGCTATGAATTGAAAATCGACCTGACAGCACCCAACAACAACACAAGACTCTGTAAATCAGTGTCCCTCTTGGCTTCCTCTTCTTTTCCCTCCCCTTATTCTCACTTACTTTGTTATCATTGTGTATTTTGTACACTGTCTCAAGTCTTTCTTTGGAGAAAGAGGACATACATACATAATATGAAATCTCATTTGTTCTTCACAGCCACCCTATTTCACAGATATTTATCTGCAGTTTACCAGTAACAAGATTGAACCTCAAAGATGCTGAGTGACTTACTCAGGGTCATACAAGCATATACCATGTTTCCTGTCTTCTAGAGAAGTGCTTCTCCTGGGCCTCGTGATTGGCAGTGTGGTGAACCTCCCCGAACTCCTGAGAAAGGAAAGGGGCAACCTGAGTAAAGGGTTTATTTTATAACCTTCTATACATGCCCACCATTCTCACACTGGAGCAGTGAAGTATGTGAAGTTAGACCTCACATTTAATTAATTAATTTAATTAATTAAGTCCAACCATCTCCTTTTACTGAGGCAGTGAAGTAGTTTACCCAAAAATACGAGGCTAAACAATGACAGAGGCAGACTTGGAATCCAGGAATCCTGGATCTCCGCTTCAAGTTCTGTCTGCGGCATGTGACAACCGATTCAGCAGGCGGACTTTCCAGTCTTGTCTCCAATTTGTATGTCACTTCCTGGAAGATGATGAAGATTACTGCCCGTGGACTCTTCCCAGACAGCTCTTCCTGTTTCCTTGACTGGAATGAGGGGAGGCAATAATGCTCTCCCCTCCTAAAAAGACTGAACTTCCTATCCCAACTACACTTTAGAGATGTGCTGCTAGTTGTGTTAGGCTGCTTCAGATTCAGGAAAGACACATCTCCCAGTTATAGTCAGAGATGCAATTTTTATGAAGACACGTGAAAAAATGAGGTAGTCCAGGAGCAGTCTTTCCACCCATATGGTTACTCAGAGACCTTGGGCTGCCAAGACTGGAGTAGACAGCAGTCCCCATGGAGAACTGGAACAGTGGTTCAGCTTCATACTAGATGCATGCTGAGCCTTTCATTTTCACCCAGTATTTACACTGCAACAGAGAAAGCATCAGATAGGGTGGGGTGCAGACAAACCAAGAGTACCTCAGCAAGTGGGACTGCAGGGTAACTGAGGATGCTTTGCTGGGTCTGATTACTGGTTTAGTCACCACTGAAGCATCCACACTTCATTCCAGGCTTAGAACCCAAGTGAACAACTTCACACAGACAGAATTGCCTGGGGCCATCTTCCTCAGAAGAGGCTGGGATTTCAAAGGTTCTCAATATTTCCCAATCCTCTCCATATGCTAAACTAGATTACTGTGCTTGAGACAAAACAATTTATGGCTATACCCAAGATCTGTTCAACTTATTGTCCATACTACTTTGAAAATGGCCTGACAACCTCCCCCTTTTTCCCCACACCTACACTCCTGGGAGATTTCACAGTTGCCAGTTCGCCGAGGAACATCTCAACCCACAAAAGCAGTGTTTTATATAGTTTTCCATAAAAGCCCTCTGAGCTCTCATTCCTGCCTCTTTGTAGCAGAAAGATGTAGCAGTGTGCTTCCATAATGCTTACAGCCTTGGAAACCCTATAGGGCATTTCTACTGCCCTATAGGGTCACTTAGAGTCAGAATTGACTCAACGGCAACAGGTTTTTTGGGGGTTTTTTGTCTATAGAGAGGTTATAGCAACCTGCATGGTGGGGAGCAAAGAGAGCCCATGTCCTCTCAAGTAGCATTATTGGTGTTGCCACAGGACCTGAGTGGAAGGGAGGTGGATATCTATCTATGAGACTATGAATACTCTCTTCAAAACGGAGTCAAGCTGGGGCCTTGGCCTCATTTCAGCTGATGCAATAGATCTCCCCATCTGCTCTGTGCATTTCCTCAGATGTGGTTTAGATATTATGGTTCTTCTCAGTTCCCTGACTACTGGCCTCACAGCTGTGTTGAGACCTACTTCTCTATTCTTACACTTTCACCCTCCACCACTCATGCCAGACCTCTGCTAGGCCCCCATCCTCAGGAATCCTCTCCTTCCATCACGGGGCTTGTTCCTTCTCTTTCCTCTATCTCCCCATAGGTATTTCTATTTTTCTCAGCCTCAGTCAAGTTTGTCCTTCCTGTATTTGAAACCAGAGCCTCCTTCTGGCTCACTGTGCAGAGGTGAAACTACTCTATCATTCCCAGAGTGGCTGACAGTCTTACCTAGCAGCAGAAGTCCATTGTGGTCCTGCGCTAGGAACAGGGATCACCAAATGTCATGAGGAGGCAAAGGCTTCAGACTCTGGGCTTCTTGGAGCCCTTGCTGAACATGCACAGTCAGAAGATAGGAGTGATTTACCCAGAGGTGCGCAGCTCCTTAGAGAGAGAGCAGAACTAGAACTTGATCGCGCATCTCCTTTCCTAGTGCTCTGAATAGCACCTCACAGCTCCTCCAATAGTAAGTAAACTGTGTGACTTGGAAATTATTTGACCTCTTTGAGCTTTAGTTTTGTCTCGTGAAAGAAGAGAATATTCGCACCTAATCTGTCAGGTTGTTTTGAGGAAATAAGATGATCATATGAAGCATCTAAGCGGTAGAGAGTATATAATAAGTACATGTCTTCTTCCTTCCTTTCCATGTGCCCTCTGGCCCTTTCTTTTGTACTCTTGTTGGGATAGATAGTTGCTTGGGCTCCATGTGAGAGTTCCCAGTAGCACCTCTGCCTGGAAACCCAAAGCAAATAGGCACAGAACCAGGGGACATGCTTGCTGACAACGCAGCCACTTCACAAGTTGCAGGAACATGTCCTAGGAGAGGCAGGCCAAAGGCTGGTGTTCCATTTCTGAATACCAAAGCACCGTTACACAGCTCAGGGCCAACCTGGTGCCCATGGTCACCTGTAGGAGCTCATCTCAATAACAGACCCAAGCCTCTGTCCCAAGTGTGGCCTATGTGTGACCCAGCAGCCCAGCAGAAATGCAAAAGGGGACAAGGTTTGTCTCATGAGCCACTCCTTCCTTTCTCCATTCTTGGGCCCGAGCTCCATTTGTGAGCTCCATGAGCTAGTTCCATCACCACACCCTCCTTAGCCTGGGCAGCCCTCAGACTGAAGCGAATGCCTTATGGTGACATGTCCTCTTCTCCATGGATTATTCCAAATCCTCCCCGAGGGCTTCCAGCCCCTTGCCAACATACACTCACAGCAAATGACAATATACCCTCCATTCCATCCTGCCCACAGTTACTTCTGTACCCTTCCTTCTCTCTTCCCTCTGGGCCTGCCTTCTACTCCCCACAGTCCACTGAAATTGTTCTCTCTACAGTTACTAGGGACCTTCTGGCTGCCAGAATCATTAGGTTTATTTCCTTCCTCACGAGTCTTGACTTTTCTGTTGTGTCTGACCCCGCCTGTCCCCATCGATGCTGCTTTACTTCCACAGTACCCACTTGTCCTCCTTCCCCTGGCCCCTCTGGCCACTGTCATTCTCCTGGCTTTCCTGCTACCAAAGGTCCCTTCCATGCTCATGTTCCCAGAGCTCTCTCCCCAAACCTGGGCTCTCAGGACAGATGCCTCTGTGGCTTTAAGTTCTGCCGATTTCCAGTTGTGCGTCTCCAGCGCCCACCCCTCTGCTTAACTTAGAGCCTGCATTCCCAGCGCTTTACTCAGATGTCCAGTCCCCCACAAACTCAGAATTCTTCAGGGCTGGACCCAGAGACCAGGGCAAGCTGCCTCAGCTCTCAAGGTCCTAGAAACCTTTTTCAAGTTTTTCTACTTCTCAGGGCTCTGTCAGGGAATCAGGCCCACACGTTTATCAATTCTTTCAACTTCTCTCCTTTGCCCCCTGCCCCCAAGAAGCCCTTTCCTGTGAGTGTGTGTCTGTGTGGTGGGGGCAGGGGTGGGTTGCTCTATTCCATCCTTCTCTACCCCCAGCTTCCCACCTACAAAGCCTGGAAGAGACTCAGAGATCAGTGCTGTGGGGCCTGCCTCATCCCCCCCTCTTAAGGCAGTGAGCACAGAGTGGCCTTACCTGTCAGAAGGTGGGAGTGGAGGAGGACAAAAAGGAGAAAGAAAATATCAGGGAATAAATATCAATGAACATGTAAAAATGTTCCCCACAATACTCCCATTACAATTTCAAGAGAAAAATTTTGAAGAGTCCAGTGTAGTTACCTTCATCTCTAGTGGGCAAAGATTGAACCGAGCACTTCCTAAGCCATTGACCAGCCTCTGAATTGGCTGTTCTTGAGCAAGGTGGCCACCCTGCTCCCTTCAGCTGTACCCAGGGATCTACATGGTGATTTATGCAAAAGAAACTAACCGAAAACCTTCGGGGCGTGGGCCCTGGGCCTGGAGGCATTGCTCTGTAAGGCTCCTCATTAACCACAGAAGAATAAAGTGACTCTTACTCACTTTCACTGTTGTTCTTCTTTCCCTCCTCCAGGACCCTGCACTCAGAAGGGAGGTTACCTAAAGGTAAGTCCTGTCCCTTTTGCAGAAGGCCGGTAGTTGCTGTCCCTCTAAAAAACTTACAGAGTGAGATTTGCAAATACACTGAGAGCTGCCCAGGCCAGCCAGGGGGGAGGGGGAGGGCATCTGGGCCATAGTCTCCTGACTTGTCAGTGCAGTTTCCCAAGTCTCCAACTCTGGTTGTATCCACCTGGAAGTGCCCTGCTAGCAGGGCTGGCTCCAGATGCAAGGGGAGTAGGGTCTTCGCCCCTAACCTGTCTAGCTTTCTCACAGGGTAGCCTTTCACCTGCAGATTACTCATCTGTAAAACGACCCTGGAGTATGAGCTGACTGTCTTTTCCACTCTGGTATTCTTCCTGTCTCTCTCCATCCAAACTCACATCCTATCTCCCAATTAATTAACCAGGTTATAAATGACTGATAGGTGCTTGACTGGTTAATCACCTTGGGTTAGGAGCCCCTCCTAATTTGAAGGAAGGTATTTGGCCCCACTTGGCCATTTCCTGCATGACAGCTCTCTGAACAGTTTCTGGTCTGATAAATGAGGGTAAGGTAATATCTCACATGAGTGATAGGAAGATTAAGCAAAAACAAAAACATAAGTTTGTGCCCTTTCTGAGTGCTGTGACCGAGCTAGGTAGCCCCCTGATAACCAAGCTGTGAGGTTTTTACAGCATAGCTATAGTTCATTTGATTCTTATGTCAACTCTGAGACAGGCTGGTCCCACACTATCAATTCCATTTTACAGATGCAAAAACCAAGGCTTAGAGAGGTTAAGGGATTTTCCCAGGTCTGTCAGTTCTTTAGTGGCAAAGCTGGAACCAGTTCTCTGGCCTTGCAGTACAGAAGCTCCTGTCTCCACCCTCCTTAACTTTGAAGTAGCCAGATCCCAACCTCTAGCAGCCAGCCTTCTCTTGCTTGGGGACATAGGACCTAAAGGGTAGCCAGCCAGGTCTTCTATGGTCCTTTCACCCTTCCACTGGCTGAATAATGGGCAAAGAGCAGCTGTGGTTCCACAGAGTCATCTGGCAGCTCCACGGTCACTACCCTGAGCCATAGGGGCAGGGCAGGTACTGAGGGGAAAACGTGCCTGGAAGCAACAAGATTCTTCTCCCCTTCCCCCAACCAGGCTGCTCTGTGCTCATGCTTGAGACTGTGAATGTGGTACGCAAGTACATCTCCTTTCTGGATCTGCCTTTTTCTTGGCTTCAGACCCAGAATGTCCTCTTCGTGCTTTCCAGCAAAGAGGTGGCACAGGCCAAGGTAAGGATTGTGAATTCCTGGACACCCTGACTCCAGATCTGTGCCCCAGATTCCCTGGCTCCTCAAAACCCTGCCTCTGCAGAGGCCCTGACTAAGGACCTTCCACAGTGGTGCAGCACTTTTCCCTGAGTTTTAGAACTATGCCGGTTCAATCTTGGAATTTATATATTTTAGATGACTTTTACCCTTTTTTCTGATTATAAAAATAATATCTGCAAATGCTGGGACATATATAATTTAGCAACAAAAGCAACAACAACCAAAAATATATATGTGGTTATGTGTATAGATCTGTATATTGTGTGCATATGGTGGCACAGTGGTTAAGAGCTCGGCTGCTAACCAAAAGGTCAGCAGTTCAAATCCACCAGCCACTCCTTGTAAACCCTATGGAGTAGTTCTGCTCTGCCCTGTAGGGTTGCTATGAGTCAGAATCAACTCGACAGCAATAGGTTTGGGGTTTTTTTTTTAATGTGTGTGTGTGTGCATGCATATATATTCATATATATAAAATAAAGCACATAGTAGGCACAGTTACAGATCCTTCTTAGACATAAACAGACTTCTGGTGGGATTGGTTTTCTGGGTTTGAAGCCTTAGGAGCATAGACTCGTGGGACAACTCAGTCAATTGGCATAACATAGTTCGTAAAATTTATATTCTACGTCCTAGTCTGGTGAGTAGTCTCTGGGGTCTTAAAAGCTTGTGAGTGGCCATCTAAGATACTATCAGTCTCTTGTCTAGAGTAAAAGAGAAGGAAACCAGAGACTCAGAGAAGAAACTAGTCTACAGAACTAATAGTCTACATGAACCATGGCCTCATCTACCCTGAGACCAGAAAAAACTAGATGGTGCCGTTAACGATCATTTGATCAGGGCCACAAAAAATGGATCCTAATAGGAGGGGGGAAATGTAGAGCAGAAGTCAAATTCTTAAACAATCCAGACTTCATGTACTGCTTGAGACTAGAGGACTCCCCAAGACTCTTGCCCTTAGATACTCTATAAACCTTGAACCGAAACTACCCCCTGAGGTCACCTTTTAGCTTTGTGACAGATTGGCTCATAAAATAATATTACCCATGAGTACTCCGCACCTTTAAAAAATCATCTGTAGAGACCAAATGGCCAACAATTACTCTAAAGCAAAAACGAAAGGGAAAGGAAACAGGGAAACCAGATTACTGAAAACAAAACATCCAGAATGGAATTAATGAGTATGTTGACACATTGTGAAAAGGGTAACCAATGTCACTGAAGAATTTGTGTAGTAATTGTTAAATGGGAACCTAATTTGCTGTGTAAAATTTCACCAAAAACACAAAAGGATATTTTTTAAATAATAATGATAGTGAGATAAAGTAAAAAGTAAAGTTATAAAATGAGCTGAGCAGGGATAAGGGGCAGAGTAAAAGTCAGGGCATCTTGATTGTAAACGGAAAAATACTCAGCAATATGAAGGAATGAATTACTGATACACTCAATAAAGGGAATAAACCTCAAAACATTACATGTGAAAGAAGACAGACACAAAAGAAAATATCCTGTATGACTCCATTTATATAAAATTCTAGAAAAGGCAAATCTAATCTAACGTGACAGAAAATTATCCAGTGATTATCTGGGGCTGGAGGGATTGACTGTAAAGGGGCACAGGGGAATATCTGGGGTGATGGAAATACTATTTTGACCTAGGTGGTGGTTACATTGCATGTGTCTTTTACCAAAACTCATTGAAATGTATATTTAAAATGGATGCATTTTACTGTACGTAAACTGTGTCTTAATTGGTGTATGTTCTGCTGTGTAAATTTTCAACAACAACAAAAAAAATAAAATTGTTGAATAATAATAATACATGCTAACTGTCTTAGTTATCTAGTGCTGCTATAACAGAAATACCACAAGTGGATGGCTTCAACAAATAGACATTTATTCTCTCAGTCTAGTAGGCTAGAAGTCCAAATACAGAGTATCAGCTCCCAGGGAAGGCTTTCTCTCTGTTGGCTGTGAAGGATGGTCCTTGTCATCAATCTTCCCCTGGTCTGGGAGCTTCTCAGCGCAGGAACCTTGCGTCCAAAGATGTCCTTTGCTCCCAGCGTTGCTTTTGGTGGTATGAGGTCCCCCTGTCTACTTGCTTCTTTTATATCTCAAAAAAGATTGATTTAAGACACAATCTAATCTTGTAGACTGAGTCCTGCCTCATTAACATAACTGCCAATAATCCCATCTCACCAACATCACAGAGACAGGATTAACAACACATAGGAAAATCACATCAGATGACAAAATAGTGGACAATCACACAACACTGGGAATCATGGCCTAGCCAAATTGATAAATATATTTTGGGGGACACAATTCAATCCATGACAGTAACAAAAGGTAAATAACACATACTCTTTGAAGAAAATCTGGAAATATGTAAGAGCACCAAAAAGAAAATAAAAATTATCTACAGTCCATCACTCAGAGGTAATTGTTGTTGACATGTTGGGCTGTTTCCTTCTACTCTTTAAGTTCATATACATACATACATATGTATTTTTTAATGGGATCACACAGTGCTTGCTATTTAAAAACTGCTTTAACAATATGTAATGAATATTTTTTTCTATATCATTAAGGATTCTACAAAGAGAATTGTACTGATTGCCTACTATTCCATTGTATAATATGTTGTATAATTGTACCATAAACTATGTAATGAATCCCTCTTTATTGGACATTTCAATTTACCAGTTTTCACTTTTACACATGGAGCACAGCTCCCAGCTTGAGTCTAAGAGGAGTTCAGGCCTCTCTCTAAGGAACAGACAAGGCAGGCCACTAGAAGCCTACCTGTCTGCCGAGGAAGAGCTAGGCCCACTGAGGCCATCCTAGCAAAAGCTCTTAGTTGTCAGTGGGGCAGGTGGCTCTGAATACCATTAGAGTTGGTGAGAGGGTGGGGCTAGGAAATCACTCCAGCTTATCTCCAGAAGAGTTGTTGTTAGCTGCTATCCAGTTGATTCCAACTCATGGCGACCCCACGTCTGCAGAGTGGAACTACTACATAGGGTTTTCAAGACTGACCCTTCAGAAGCAGATAGCTAGGCCTGTCTCTGAGGCACCTCTGAGTAGGTTCGAACTGCCAACCTTTCAGCTAGTAGTCAACCACTTAACTGTTTGTGCCACCCAGGGATTCTAGAGATAAAGGGTGGCTGTGGGTAAAAATAGAATGAATCCTTCTGTTAGAAACTCGAGATACTGATTTTTAAAAAATTTTGCTTAGCTTTGTTTTCTGAATTTTCTATAATAAACATTTATACCCACTGTCATGGATTGAATTGTGCCCCCACAAAATATCTTTCAACTTGGCTAGGCCATGATTCCCAGTATTGTGTGATTGTCCACCATTTTGTCAGCTGATGTGATTTTTCTATGTGTTGTACATCCTATCTCTATGATGTTAATGAGATGAAATTAGTGACAGTTACATTAATGAGACAGGCTCAATCTACAAGATTAGATTGTATCTTAAACCAATCTCTTTTGAGATATAAAAGAGAGAAGTGAGCAGAGAGACGGGGACATCATACCACCAAGAAACAAGAACCAGGAGAATAGTGCATCCTTTGGACCTGGAGTCCCTGTGCTGAGAAGCTCTTAGACCAGGGGAAGATTGATGACAAGACCTTCTCCCAGAGCCAACAAAGAGAGAAAGATCCTTTTCCTGGAGCTAGGGCCCTCAATTCAGACTTCTAGCCTCCTAGACTATGAGAGAATAAACTTCTGTGTGTTAAAGCCATCCATTTGCGGTATTTCTGTTATAGCAGTGCTAGATAACCAAGACACCCACTGTTATAGTTAAGGTTGTGTGTCAACTTGGCTGGGCCATGATTCTCAGCGGTTTGGTAGTTATGTAATGATGTAGTTTGGCAGTTATGCAATGATGTAATTATTCTCCACTTTGTGATATAATGTAATCAGTCACCTCTATGATGTGCTCTGATGTGATCAGCCAGTCAGTTCTAACAGGAATTTCCTCGGGGGTGTGGCCTGCATCCTGTATCTGTGGGCACTGTAGTGAATCTCAATGGCTTTTGCTTGCTCTGGATCCTCCATCCAGCTTGTCGTCATCTGACATCCAGTTCTGGGACTTGAGCCAGCAGCCTCCTGTATTGCCTGCCAGTCTTTGGATTCGTCAGCCTCCACAGCCTGTGAGCCAGCACCTTGTCATCTTACCTGCTGATCTTGGATTCCTCAGCCTCCTCAGCCCATGAGCCAGCAGCCTGCCTTCTGACCTTTCAATCTTGGTTACATCAGCCCCTGCAGATACTTGAGTCAGGAGAAGCCTCCAGCCTGACGCCTGACTCGCAACCCGTGGACTTGGGACTTGCCAGCCTCTACAACCATGTGAGCCATTTCCTTGGGATAAATCTCTCTCTGTGTCTGTCTATATAATATATACACGCTTTACTGGTTTTGCTTCTCTAGAGAACCCAGTCTAAGACATTTGGTACCGAGAATCATTCTAGAGAAACAAAATTGTAAGGATGACTTTTCTAAATTGATTCTGAAGTCTGGTTAGTCTTAAAGATATTGGTGACTCTGCTTCCAGTAGTAAAGAGGGCACTGCTAATCCATAGCATGAGGTGGCAGTACCTTGCAGGGTTGGGGCAGTGTTCTCCAGGGGGCTGTATATGCTCTAAACCAGCATCCAATATATGGTGCTTTTTCTTCCATAGCCAGGATTCATGGGTCCAGGAATCAAGGAATGGAAGTGGGAGTGGCACCACTCACTAGTCACCCACTCACAAATTTTTGCTTCCTGTCCCCGTGACCCTTTGCTCTGCGGGTCTAGAGGTCTTAGTTCCAAAGGCAGGAATGCTCCCACCAGGAGACACAACACTGATTCCACTAAACTGGAAGTTAAGAATGCTACCCACCCACTTTGGGCTCATCATGCCTCTGGATCAACAGTCAAAGAATGAAATTAATGTATTGTCTGGTGTGATTGA